CGTCAAATTATTTGTTATTTCACCTCCAAATATTTGAAATAAAAAATTCATTTCGATGAAGTACAAATAGAATTAAATATATACTATTTATAAAATAAAAAGTATAGAATATTTTCTATACTTTTAATTGTACTTCATCAATTTTATTTGTACTTCATCGAAATGAATCTTTTATTTCAAATATTTGGAGGTAAAATAACAAATAATTTAACGTCAAATGTTGGCTATGAACGTATTTCATCGAATCAAGTTTAAAATAAAAAATTCATATAAGTTCCTTTGAATACAAAGTAGTTCATTGCAACAAACAATTATTTGCTATCTCATTTGAAATTAAAACGTGTCCAATCCTGATCGCAAGTAAGGGACAAACCACATTAAACATCCTGACCGCGAGAAGGCAACAAGTCACATCAAACATCTGGGTCGCGGTTTCGTCACAATGCTCCTGANTGACATGATTACATCCGGCTGCAAAATATCTTGCAATAGTCTCCATGTAGAAGTGGTTGTATTGGTAATAGGTTTATATATATATATATATATAATTTGGACATTATAAGAAATATAGATAATAATTGACAATGCTTAAATATACGAGATCTCATTTTTTAAATATGAACGTTTGTTGTGGATCAAGGTCAAATAGCAAATAAGGATCCTATGAAGTGACAAATAAATCGTTTCGTGAAATAACAAATAAGTGAATTAATTTAATTTCCATCGATCTTTAGAACTGAATTGTATGATTGCACTAGAATTATCAACTCTTTGCATTACAAAGGCAATTCTAAGTGACGCGCCAGAAACTAACATAACATGATTAGAAACAATTTTTACTTGATTTTTTTATATGGATGAATTGCTAATGATTTGGCAAGAATAAATGTACTCAATTGATATTATCTAAGTAGTAAAATGTTTTGTATCGCAGTAACTTTAAAGATTTCAAGTCAGAGAACTATATGCACTAATTATGGACGTTTTAAGAGCTTTCTATTGTTTGGGTACTGTATAATGTTATGTTTGTTTATTATATGATTGATTGCAGACGTCGAATCAATTTACATGGCAATACGTCAGAGCTCGTTATTCGGACCCTGGATCACCGGTTACCGGATCTTCAGGAAGCAGTATAAATTCTCAGGGTTATGGTCACTCACCTGAAGACCTGAGCATTGATTCTTTAATTAACAGTCTACTGAAAGTTGTAAATGTTGATAATTTTAACGGGCCGACTTCTAGACAGTACTCCTACGCCAAGGACTGTGTAGATACAATTGGCGACTCATATACCCCTGGTCAAACTGCAGTAAGCATATACGAACTTATGAAACTTTTATTAAACAATTTATTATGCTGCTTGAATTTTTATCAGGAGCATTGTGACGAAACCGCGACCCAGATGTTTGATGTGACTTGTTGCCTTCTCGCGGTCAGGATGTTTAATGTGGTTTGTCCCTTACTTGCGATCAGGATTGGACACGTTTTAATTTCAAATGAGATAGCAAATAATTGTTTGTTGCAATGAACTACTTTGTATTCAAAGGAACTTATATGAATTTTTTATTTTAAACTTGATTCGATGAAATACGTTCATAGCCAACATTTGACGTCAAATTATTTGTTATTTTACCTCCAAATATTTGAAATAAAAAATTCATTTCGATGAAGTACAAATAGAATTAAATATATACTATTTATAAAATAAAAAGTATAGAATATTTTCTATACTTTTAATTGTACTTCATCAATTTTATTTGTACTTCATCGAAATGAATCTTTTATTTCAAATATTTGGAGGTAAAATAACAAATAATTTAACGTCAAATGTTGGCTATGAACGTATTTCATCGAATCAAGTTTAAAATAAAAAATTCATATAAGTTCCTTTGAATACAAAGTAGTTCATTGCAACAAACAATTATTTGCTATCTCATTTGAAATTAAAACGTGTCCAATCCTGATCGCAAGTAAGGGACAAACCACATTAAACATCCTGACCGCGAGAAGGCAACAAGTCACATCAAACATCTGGGTCGCGGTTTCGTCACAATGCTCCTGATAAAAATTCAAGCAGCATAATAAATTGTTTAATAAAAGTTTCATAAGTTCGTATATGCTTACTGCAGTTTGACCAGGGGTATATGAGTCGCCAATTGTATCTACACAGTCCTTGGCGTAGGAGTACTGTCTAGAAGTCGGCCCGTTAAAATTATCAACATTTACAACTTTCAGTAGACTGTTAATTAAAGAATCAATGCTCAGGTCTTCAGGTGAGTGACCATAACCCTGAGAATTTATACTGCTTCCTGAAGATCCGGTAACCGGTGATCCAGGGTCCGAATAACGAGCTCTGACGTATTGCCATGTAAATTGATTCGACGTCTGCAATCAATCATATAATAAACAAACATAACATTATACAGTACCCAAACAATAGAAAGCTCTTAAAACGTCCATAATTAGTGCATATAGTTCTCTGACTTGAAATCTTTAAAGTTACTGCGATACAAAACATTTTACTACTTAGATAATATCAATTGAGTACATTTATTCTTGCCAAATCATTAGCAATTCATCCATATAAAAAAATCAAGTAAAAATTGTTTCTAATCATGTTATGTTAGTTTCTGGCGCGTCACTTAGAATTGCCTTTGTAATGCAAAGAGTTGATAATTCTAGTGCAATCATACAATTCAGTTCTAAAGATCGATGGAAATTAAATTAATTCACTTATTTGTTATTTCACGAAACGATTTATTTGTCACTTCATAGGATCCTTATTTGCTATTTGACCTTGATCCACAACAAACGTTCATATTTAAAAAATGAGATCTCGTATATTTAAGCATTGTCAATTATTATCTATATTTCTTATAATGTCCAAATTATATATATATATATATATAAACCTATTACCAATACAACCACTTCTACATGGAGACTATTGCAAGATATTTTGCAGCCGGATGTAATCATGTCAGAAACATAAATATTTCACTACAGTACAAACAATTTTACTTAAATCCAATTTTTATAGCAAACTCACAATTTTTACAAAATTCGCCAGAAAAATCTTTCGAGTGCCAAGAGTTGAACGAGGGCCATCACACAACTTTCGTATAGAAAGATCTTCGGAAAGTGTAGTGACACGACTGGCAAATAGAAAATCGAGACTAACCGATGCCGACAATCGCGTTGCAAACTGACTGTTGCCAACCAAGTAGCTGTCCGCGGGGGTAGAAAGGCATTTTGAGGGTGACCCATAATGGTACTGAACAAGGGAAGAGAGTGGAAAGAGGGAGAATGGTCCACACAGCGGGCCCGTCAGGACGAATCACATGGTTTAGGAAACGTCGATCGTTATTCAGCTGAGAACCAAAGAACACCAGATGTGCGCGTGTTTGCCAAAAGTGCCTTTCAATAAATCAACTTTGGGTCTTGAGACCAGAGATAATTTTCAGAACAGCTAAAAATCACATACGTCCGTAGGATCTCGAAAATAGACACCGATCTTACTCGCATCCCTATCTCCTTTGAGCCAGAATTAAATTTTTACTGATTTCTGCAAGATCGATCTATTTACACGTGAAATGTATTGTGTAATGCTTTCTTTTTTGTTCTTAACTGGGTTAAGTAATTATGTAAAAATAAGCGAGGACGTTTTTGTATTAATGTACAAGATCTTTCATTAATTTTAAATTGCATAGCACCTGTGATTGTTAAATATACAATAGTTTTGATAACTGATAAGTAAAAGGCACATAGATTAAGAAAATAGAAAGATGTACGCTGTGCTACAGCGTGCAAATAGTGAAAATTTACCACAAATACAACGAACATCTCGTAAATATTCGTTTTCATTTGCAATAAAATAGCTGAATTTCTTTGGTTCAAGTTAGCAGCAATTAATCATCTCGATTGACCACATTTCCAATGAATTTTCTTAAATTTTATAGTATGTTCGATAATTTAAAAAATGCCGACAAGTTACATTGAAAATCTGAAAATCTATAATCGAAGTTTCGGCAATATTTTATATTTAATTTGTGAAAGATAACCTGAATTTTGGGCTGTGACACCGTGCGGCACGGGAGTGGGAAAGCAGGAATGTCAGAGAAGTGTTCAAAGGTGATGTGAAGTAAGGAAGACAAACCTATGGGAAGACTCACTTATTCGCATTCCTAAGGTCCCTCTTTACTATTCCCCCACCACTTGTGAACACTTCTCTGGCATGCTCAAACGCGACGCGGAGCAGAGGCTTATCTTCCTAACTTTGTTACTAACAACTTTAAAGTTAAATATCTCGAAACTGTAAGCTGTCTGCATCCAAAATCGAGTATCAATTTACAAACCCTGTGCGAGATTTCATAAAAATGCTGCGTCGGGCCTGAGAACCACTCCTTGTAAGCTTACCTAATATAATTCATTTTGTTTATAGGTAACTTCATACATAGAATACCAAATTAAAATGACAATAATATTTGGTAAATTCAGTAAATTCAGTAAAAGCCTATAATTTCAGTCTACATAAGCAAGTGAACATGTTGTGTGTTTACCTACAGTGCCCTAATAAGAAATCTACAGTTTATACAATAATAGAACATTCGAATAAGATAGCGTTCATAGGAACACCTTTATGTTACGGGCGCTGATAAGAAAATGTTCTGACAACCTACACCGTATTTATGTTTTTTACAATGTGCTACTTGAATCTAAAACTATCAAACGTTTTATAAATAAGTACGTAACGACATATTGCAAGGTATGTATAGAACAAGCTGTCATCTCGCTAAACTTTGCCATAATCTATCCAAATATGATAAGATGTTCGCGGACTTCGGCAATCTATTGTGACAATCAGCAGTTTTTTATAATCATCCATTTGTTGGCAGATGGCCTTGTAATAGAGGTCGTCGAATTTGTCCACGTATCAGCTAAAAGAAAGCCACTATCAATAGACTACGGATTTCATGCATTTGTGGCAAAAATGATTAAGTGAACAAATTTTCAGCATGTATATAAGTTATCGAGATCTACAAAACATTTGTTAAATTTTCGATATAGGTTCAGATAAAAAAAAGTTGAAAAATATGAATTTTTTTCTTTTTCTTTTTTTTTGTCATTTCAAGTGATAGCAAAATTTAAGAAAGTATTATGGTCATTGTCTAATAGACTAGTTCTTCTGTCGTCTAACAAAAATTCCATTTTTATTGAAGTTATAGCGTTTTTCAAGTGCCCTTAAGCATATGGGCGACACTGTACGTATCCACCCCTTTCACTATGCCACGATTCAATTAAAATTTGTTCATAATTTTCTGTCTATACCGGCACGCTGATTAGCGATAATGATTTTGCATTACGATTTCGTAATCGAGAAATGCATGCATCATTAAAATCTGATGCTATACATATGTATACGAGTCATTATTTTATTTATTATACCCCATTATTTTTTATTTATTATTATTATTATTATGTTCATTTTATATTGAAAGATCTTCGTTATTTTCGCTGATATAAAATATGTCAGGACAACTTTGTTTAGTTCAAAGCTAAGAATATTATGATTCATGTTTTTTTTTTGTGACTCCAATTGATTTCTTTCCAAATAACGAAGATCGTCACTATTTTTTGTATATCAACCCCTATTTTTCATAATGCAGCACTGTAGTGTACATCGAGACGAATGCAACACTATGGCTTTTAAATGACTTTGAATGAAAACAAAATTAATGTGCAAATCCTTAATTTACAAAAAAATAGCGATGACTGCAAGCAGACGGCATATTCTGTAACCACCATTTTTAACATTAAAAATAACATGCCGGACAAAATGACTAGTTTCATATTTGTTCTTTTCAAATTGTTGAAATTATGGAGATTCTAATAAAGCAGCACACCTCAGTCACTTAGGGTTACTTAAATACATACCATCCTAAAAAAGTTTCTAAAATACATACTATTTTTCGTTCCTGCAAATGACAGCATTTCCCCCTTATATTGCTACTAATGAAGTCTGAATTAGTCTATTTATAAGTATTTAACTTATTTCTACCGAAATTCGATGTAAAACGACTGAAAAATTCAAGATATCCTACCAAAGACCCAAAATCGGATCGATACATTAAATATTGTATAATATTAAAATATATATAATATGTTGAATTTTTTAATAAGTTTCTGTACGTACCTTATTAACTGCGTCTGCATCATGTTCTTTTTCTTGAACATCTTGAATATAGTTTCCAAAAAGTGTTGAAGCAGGATTGAAACCCTTTCCATGATTCATCGTGAATTAGATAACAAATAATTAAAAACCGTGTAGAAATTATGTATTAATGTCTCAGCACGTCGTAAAATCTTGACCTGAAACAAAAAGGATTCATTAGGTAAATTATTTTATCACACTGTTCATATAGGGAAAAGTATAATGTCTGCCAGACAGTTCTGCCAAGTTTTAAAAATATTTAACATATTTATTAGAAATTACAATTTATCATTTGATTTCCAGTATATATAGGACAACAAATATCCTGCTGGAAAAAGTGGAATATTATAATAGTAATTTTCTATATATTTTTGTAACTTCCAGAATCTTGATTCTTAAATGTGGACAGTGCTTTCCCATATAACTAATATTTTTATCACAGAATATGTATGTAAAAGCTCGCGTATGTAAAAAATAATTATTACGCATCTCATTAAAACAGTTTGCATGGTATACATCTTCTTGGAATAAAATTTCAGTTATTTTTCTCGAGAACAAAGTCTCATGCTACATTGAAACACTGTTACTGAAACGTCCTCATATTGTTTGCTGCAATTATACTTAATGCTGTATACTAAACTATACTTGAACGATATTTGTGTATACCAAATATTTTTTATTTATATGAAGAATTCCAATATAGTAGAAATATAGTTAGAGCATCAATTACTTGAATCAGAAACGAAAATTCTAGAACCTATCACTGCGTATGAATTGCAAATTAATTCAAAATAATTCGTGGAAAGTCAACGGTAAAGCAGTTTAAATTGTACGCGTGCCCCCCTGTTCTAGTTTCAAAGATGAACACCCCTACACAGCTGGTTCAAGGTCATCATACAAGTTCAGAGAAGGGAAGAACTGTGATACCCCTTCAGTTCGAGGATGGAGAAATGGGGTTCCGCTTTCATTCTTAGGACCTTACAGAAATCAATAACAGGAAATTCGACATAACTTCATTCATATTCATGCATCTGTAAGTCAAAAAAATATGTCTCAGTCCCGTTACAATCGTAAATTTCCTCTAGAGTTACTTCATTGGCCACCATAAGACATATCGGCATATGTGAAAGAATTATACAATTGTGTATGTTACTAGATTTGTCTGATAACATGATGGAAATTTTTGGAAGACTACATAGTTCAGCTGGTATCTACATACATCGGTTTCCCTTCCAGTGGCATAATCACAACATTACTTTATGGGCCAATAAATTAAACAAATTTATTTGCGAAGACTCTGAGAGAATTTAAATGAAGCATTTAAAAATTTATCATTTCTCTACTTTCGTAGTTTCCCTTCCTAATTATTTTTCAGCTGCATATTTACGACTTTACTTCGTGGATATATTATGTGTTGGATTTAATCATATGGACACCATACATATTTTTAATCAATTCTCAAAACAGGTTCATTCTTGAGATATATTTTGACAAGTTTTAAGCTACATCAACCTATCGATAGACTATCAGTGTAGAAGTTTTTAGTAATTATAGTGTCTAATATCAATACTTGCTTGTAAGTACCGGTATTGATACAAATTATTTTATCACATTTTCCATTACTTGTTTAAATTACATAGAATGTAAGAATTAGGCATAGAAGCCTGTTGAAGCAAGTAGATACTAAAGAACCCCTTGAATTAAAAAGGTATGTGTATGTGTATACGTAGCTTATAATACCATTTCAATGTTCCTCATTCCATTTGAGCATTGTTACAATAAATTCGCATTTAATCAATTATTGTAATAAAATTTTTATTTGTTATTTGGCTTCTCATTTTATCTTAGTTAATACTGTTTAAGTAGCAATGCATTTGAAAAATAAATTATTTTAATACTTGTTATCTTCTTATATGTAGGTATCTAATATTATTCCACTTTATTAGGATGGTATTTCCGACGATCTGTATCATCGGTAGAGTGTGTAATCTTATCGGAATACATATTTACATCCTGAGGCTTCATTTTAGATACTCATACTCTGAAATTATAGGGGAAGGGCAAATTATTGCAAATTATAATAAAAATATATATACTATGTACGACAAATGTCATTTGTTAATGTTTAGCATTGTACTAACGAAATATTCGGCAAATAAAAAATATTATTTTATTAGAAATCTTAATCTGTTCTTTGTATTTTTCACTTTCAGTTCAAGCAAA